GGGGACTGGGGGTGGGTGGCAGCAACCAACCTCCTGTGGCCCCTGGGCTGGGGCTGTGACCTCTTGCTGACTACCTGGGGATGGGGGTGATGGGACAGAGGTGCAGTGGGAATGTGGGGTGTCTGCGGGCTTGGTCTCACTCCCCCTGCTATCCTCCCTAGGATGACAGGGCTTCATTGTGGGAAAGCCACCCCCCCCCCTCGCACTCAGATGCCAGATGCCTATGAGGAGCCCACATGGCCTCTTCTGGATGAGCCAGGCCACAGCTGCTGGGACCACAGGGGCCAGTTGGGCTCCCCATGGGTTCACGCAGGAGCTGGTCTGAAAGGCAGGTTAGGAGAGAGCGTACTGCCTGGCCAGGTTCTGTGCGGTGCCACTGGGTGGCCCAGACGCCCTCACTGCACCGCCCAGCTCATCGCATCTCTGCGTGGGGACTCGGGCACCGTGACTCAGGAGGGGGGTTCACAGGAGTCTGGGGGCCCAGGTGCTGCCCAGGGCCCAGAGGTCAGTTGGGACCTGCCCTTCCATGCCAGATGCTCGCGCTTTGATCACCAGGCAGGCCTAGGGACCACACCCATGCACGAATTTCGTGTGCTGGGCCTCTAGTTATATATAAAGTCCCTCTCGTGTATATTTTTCTTTTTTAATAGAAATAATTAGATTTACCTATGATAACTCTAAAGATTAGCAAATCCAACAGACTTGCACAGCAGTGTCTGGGGGAATTTACGTGTTATCATTTATAGAACTTGTAATACATGGTCGGTTTCTAATTTCAACTACTGACATAAAAGGAGTGAGCCTGTGCGGTTGAAATAGTGAAGCATGAGGAGTCTGTGCTTTGCACGGACAGGCTGGCCTTTCAAGCCAGTGTTTCTTTTGATGGTCTCCTCCTTAGAACCTGGTACCTCGGGGCAGCCCCCCTGGCTTTGTGGGGGCCTCTAAGTTTCTTTCCCATAGCTCTCCATTCTCCTAGCCTCTCCGTGCTCTCCCACTTCCAAATCAAAAAGTACCTTGAATGATGTGTGATAACCTCCCTTGAACTCTTCCTAATTTTATAGATGAGAAAATGGAGACATTACAAAGAACGAGAGTGGGTAAGACAACTAATATTACCCATGTGCTTGCTAGAGACTTTATTCGATGCTCAGTAAGAGCACTGCCTGCATGAATGAATGCTATACCCCAGGCAAGTAAGTGGCATTCAATATATATTTTTTGAATGGGCAAATACATGAGTACATTATTACCTTGTGGGACACGTATTATTCCCTTACCGCAGATGAGGCAACTGACACTTAGATAAGTTATATGACTTCCTTAAGGCTAAGCACATACAACACTCCAACAGTTAATCTTTTATTCTCTTAACTGTTTAATTTCTTGTCTTGCTCTTTACCTTTCAAAGACAGGGATCAGCTAAAATGACCAGTAGATTTATATGCAGTGTTGGTAGCCGCTTGCGTTGGTAGTACTACCCCCAGCCCAACCACCCCCCAACCCTTTCCCAGGAATCTTAGAATTTCAATGCCAACTTTCTGGGAATAGTGTCAACCAGCTCACAGAAATGGCTCCCTGGGAATTTCACGCTGTTAGGAGATATTTTATTTTGGTATTTTTAGCGACATTAAAAAAAATTCCACAGAAGATTTTTTTCCTGGGGTCCGGACAGTTACGTAAAACGACGCATTCATTTATAAATTAAACGTCAACACTGCTTGCATGCATCGCAGGCTATTCTACGAGGAGCAGACAGCTGATCTGTGTATTGGCCCCTGTCGCGATGGAAGACTTAGTAAGAAACATCAGAAATTGGCTCCTCCTCCACCTCCCCCCCAGCTCCCCCTCTTGGAACCTTCTCAGCTTCCCGAGTACGGTCTGAAAACCTAGGCTCTTTAGGAAAGGATCTGCAAATTAAAACATGGCTCCGTGATTTTCAACACAAAGACCACAAGCTGCGCTGCGCACAAGAAGTATTTAAAACAGATCACCTCCAGAAGTTGGAGGGCTACAAAGTCCAGGGCGCCCCGGCCAGGCTGCAGAGGCTGTCCGCGCTTCCTCCCTGCAAACCCCAGGCAGGCGACGCGTCGCGACGAGTTTCAGCTGCAGAAGAGGAAGAGCATCACCTGCAGCTCCAGGCGTGGGAATCGCGGCCGGAGGGAGAGAGAGCCCGAGAGGGGCGCGCACTCTCTGACAAGGGAGAGGCTGCCCGGGAGGGACGGCAGCTCCGGCAGGTGAGGCTCTGCACAGCCTCCCAGGTCGCCGCCGCTACAGTCCCGGAGGCGGACTCCGCCAGAGAATCCCTTCCCAGCCCCTAGGCTGGGGCCAGGCGGGGCTCTGACGTCACCTCCCCTCCCCCCGTTCCTCCAAGAGGGAGGGAGTGGGGAAAGAGGCAGTGATCCACCGCCGCTCCCGGCCGCAACTCTCAAACTCGGCGGCTCGCTGCCTGGACAAGTCCCGGCAAACTTGGCTTCTCCCCGGCCCTCTCGCTAGCCCTCGTGCGTCTCAGCCAGCCTCGCTTTGGGACTCAAGTTTCGCCCGGGACGGAAGCCTCCGGAGATGGGGCCACCTGGGTCCGGGCAGCGCGGGTGGGTCGCACTCCGGTTGGGGACATGCTGAAGAGCCGAGGGAGGAGGCAAAGTTGTGGGACCTCAGACTACAGGGCTTCTAAGAAAAATCCAAATCGCGTGGGGATTACCGAGCGGCCGAGGACTTTCAAGCGGAGCCCCGAGGACTCGGCTGGACTGGTGAGTTCTTTGTTGAATGCAAGCCTTCTGTGTTTAAGTTTCAACGTAAATTAAATTCCGTGGGGTATTCGGCCCTAAGCGAGTGCCGGGAAGCGTGGGCATCCTACGGGCTCTCCGCTCGGCGAGCTGCGCGCCCCCTCGGGCCGTGCATGGCTCGCGAATGAAAGATCGATATGCGTAGGTTTGGGAATTCATAAAACACATACATAGCACTGTTAAAGAAAACTTGAAAAGCTGTGCTGTCTGTGCATTATTTCGAAGGTTAACTTATTATAGAAATAGTGCCCAGGGAGGGCGCATCGGGGCCGCGTGATTCGCAGGGGCGCAGCGCCCTCTAGGCCGGGCACCAGGCAAGGCGCGCGCTCCCCGCCGGCTGGCTGGCGGACCGCGAACTTGGACCTGCTCCTGGGACGTGGGCGTGAGCTCTGTCGCCGCCACCCCAGCCTTAATTACCCGCCCACTCCGGGCCATTCTATTCGTGATTTACCAATGCTAGCTCGAGTGGACTGCATTCAGAGGCGGTGTTGGGAGGAAAGCGTTTTTGTTTTTCGGGAACCAGCCCCCAACCCCCTGATTTCCGAGAGCCTTGGGGGACAGGGTTAGGGAGGATCGACTATTGGAAGGACAAACGTGGAGCTTGAACTACATTTCTCCTTCGTGTGAAGGTAATCCGATTGTTGCAAAAAGGCACCTCTGTTTCATTCATTTGAGGCTGAAGGATCAGGGAAACCGTGGCAGCGCCGGAATCTGACATCTTTCTCTCCGGCTCTCTGCGTTTCTGTGGCCACCGCGGTGTAACTTCTTCCAGGCAGTTCTGTTTCTCAGTGAGCTTGGAACATGGGGATTCCCAGACAGCTGTTTCAGCTGGAGTAAACCTTATCATTTAGTAACGAATGGTAATTTTCTCCAGGAATTCTTTTGTGCCATTTAAAAAAAAATCTTGTGATTTTATGTTACAGGAGGGTGTCTTTTTACCGTTGCCCCACCCCCACCCCAGCTGTTGGTGTATCTCGTGTGGCTGTGTTTGGTTGAGAGTTAGAATTCGGCGAAGGGCGCAAACCGGTTGAGCTTGGAGATCAGGCCACCTACTTTCGAGGTGTTCCATGTAGGAAATGGAGCACTTTGCGCATTGTGGCCGTGGCCAAGTGCCTGGATGATAATATCTGCTGGGTGTGTGAAATGGTGTGTATTCTAAATAATGCGCAGGGAATACACTGCGTGCTCTTCTCAGTGCTACGTACTAATCAGCACACTCACTCTGCAGGCATTTTCCTTCCCAGCCAGAATCTGCTAGATACCTCCCCCCCACCCCGCCTCCCACCAATCACCTTCTTGAAGATGGTTTTTTAAAAGAAGACTGCATTAACGTTGGAAGGAAATTCTCTCTGAAATCTAGA